AAACAGCACAGTTCTGAGGCTAGTGATGAAACTCTATTCCCCTCCAGAGGAGGAGTAGCTACTGTATTACACATTTCCTCATTCTTCTGTGAAATCATATACAGCACCTGAAGCTTTGTTTTCCTGGTAGCTAAGCCTGGAAGAAAGGTGGCACAAATGGTTTTCAGTTCAGAAGAAGTGATGGACCCTCTTCTACAATCTACCTTTAACTTTGGATATGGAGGTGTGGACAAAAAAAGAGAAAAGTTTCCATACATCTTTCTTCTAAGAAAAAGAAGTAGAAGTACTTTCTGCAGCACCATCTAACTTGTTGGCATATTATACTGTACAATTCAATTTTTTATAAAAATGAAAATAACTTTTCCTTCCACCAAAAAAAAAAAAAAAAAAAAAAGGTTTCCTCTTTTATAGCTTCTTCTGACTCGATTGTGCTCATTGGAATAATCCAAAATACTCTCTCCATTCCAAGGGATTAAGTCCTAAGATTTAACCACACTTGAAAAGTCCCTTTTGCTATGTAGGATAGCATATTCACAGAGTCCAGGATTAGGACGTGGACATTCGGGGGTGCATTAGTCTCCCTATCATGCTGGGCCAGCTCCAGGAGCCCTCACTACCCAGGAAGCCTCCCCTCCACTGTCCCAAGCTCTCTCTGCCCTTCTTTGAAGTTTCCCATGGGCTTCTGTAGTCTTCCCCCAGCAGGGCTCGTACTACCCTGAAATAAAATTGCTTGTCAATTTGTCATTTAGCACCTGCAATAAACTTCAAGTTCCATGAGAATGGGAATAGGGATTGTCTTGTTTACTGGCATAAACCCAGCTTCTAGGATAGTGCTCAAAAAACTATTTCAGGGGAGGGAAGCTTTTCCATGACACCTGACTTTCTATACTGAATTACCTTCTGGCTATATGATTGCTTCTTAAATTAAGAACCTATTAATCCACCCTCCAGGAATCCCAACTATCACAACTGAAGGGGATCTTAGAATACAGCCAGCTCCCTTTACTGCAAAGAAAGCTGAGGTCCAGAGAGTGGAGGTGTCTTTTCCAGGGTAACACAGCTGCTTTGTGGCAGGGCCAAGACCAAAGCCTAGGTGTCCTCATACCAAGTCTGGTGCCCTAGATTCAGACAACTCCTTTTTCCTTCACAACTGGCAAGACATTCACATCTGCCTTTCAGCACCCGAGAACAGCTACACATACCCCTGTAGCCTGGCCTTGCACACCTTGCCCCAACTTGCCAGGCCTAGATCCAGCATGTGGCATGGGGGACAAGGCCCTATTTTCTCCTCTTCAGGTGTGTCTATGCACCTGTGTGTCTACATGTATAGGGGTAGAGGCAGTGCTCCCAAAGCCCTCTACAGCCACTGAGACAGGAAGATAGGGTGTGGCTAAAACTGGCTCAGAAAGGAGGCGTAACAAAATCCTAGAACAGTCCCCAAAGCCCTGCATGTAGGGTTCTCTGGAGGATAAAGGATGGTCTAGACCTGACCTCAGCCTCAGGATGGAGTGGTACAACAAGGACTGTCCACAGTGTGTTTTTGCCACTGTGTTCTCTCTTGCATGGTGGCCCATCCTCAAGCTGTAAGGTGCACTACTTTTCCTACTTTTACTTGGCCTAAACTTGCTGCAATGGTTGATTGATTATGCCAACTTGAGAAGTTTAGAAGCATAACTAAACTTGGTTCAGCAATTGGCCCAGCAATTTTACACCCTAGGGTGTAGAGGAGCCACCCTAGGGTGCAGAGGAGCCACCCTAGGGTGTAAAGGAGCCACCCTAGGGTATAGAGGGGCCACCCTAGGGTGTAGAGGGGCCACCCTAGGGTGTAGAGGAGCCACCCTAGGGTGGATCATCACCTAGATAATATAAAAGGGAAATGAAGAAGGACAGAGGTACTTCCATTCCTTTTGGAGGAGCTCCAGTCTTCACCTTCAGCTTGGACTTAGTCTCCTGGCTTCTAGTGCAGACTCTTCGGCTTCCACCTTGGATCCTTCAGCCTTCTGTCGCAGACTCATCGGCCTCCTGGTACGGACTTGCACGGAACTCTGCAGTGAACTCCAGACCCTCCGACTGATTCCTTCGGTCTTCAGTGTGCAGACACCCTCTGCACACTTCCCCATACAACTCTCTGGCTGACTGTGGTAAGCCAATCTTGTAATTTCTTATAATTTGTATATCCTGTGTTATATCTGTTTCTCCAGTAAAACCCTGACTGATACACTTGCTCTGCAGAGCCTCTGGTGGTGCATGCCTGTAATCCCAGCACTTGGGAAGCTGAGGTAGAAGGATTGCTGCGAGTTTGAGGCCATCCTAAGCTACAGCATGAGTTCAAGGCCAGCCTGAACTGCATAGTGAGACCTTGCCTTGAAAAGACAAAAACAAAAACAAAACAAAAAACAAAAAACTGCTACCCTTTGTGCTTGTCTTGACCAATTCTTTGCTCAGGACAGAATGAAACCAGAAACCACCTCCAGAAGGAGACTCTAGCACCCCCAAAACCCAGCAACACTAAGACACACTGTTAGATCCTTAAGAAACATTTCCAAATATTAAACGAGGACCAAAACACTTAATCTCTTTTTATCATGATTGTTGTTATGAATTTATTGTTTTTAACATGTTTCCTGATTAAGACAGCAAAATGATCGAATCCCAGGGGAACAGTCTGCGGTCTGACCTTCTGGAAGGAGCAGCAGCAGCAGCTGGGGAGATGCCAGGGGCACTGAGGACAGGAAATACCTTCAGTTTTAAAAAGTTGCTGAATCAGTTCAAAAACCAGGGTCCTTATGCTGGAATTGCCACACATCCTTAATGTATGATCAACTTCTCGCTTTATGTTTGCTCCATGATGACATGAATAATGCAAGATATCTTTGGAAAAGGATGCTAACTGTTATAAAATCTGCAAATTCTTTTGGGTGAATTTGGTCAATAAGACAAAGAATTTGGCAGATTTCCCTGGGATCTGGAGGACCATAAATGCCCACCAGGGGTCTGGGATGGTCTAATCAATCATGGAAGTGTTTAAGAGACTCAGCAAGGAGAGGCACTTTTGCTCAGGTTTCTCAGGCATATACCTCACTAATCACAGGTGACTTTGTAGTCTGTGTTGGACTCTTTGTAAAAGAGGCTGTGAAAGGTATATTAGAACAAGGATGGTAAGCCAACTCCACCATGAGAAATGGTTTTTCTGTCCAGAAAGCCAGTTGCAGGTGCTACAGACATGTCCTTTAACAGATTTATTCCTTTATGAGAGTCTGCTCCTGTGCGCCAATCCCCAGCGATATGGTTGTTGGGGATCACACATTATAAATTGAGGCTAGGGCCCCGGAGGCCTTAATGGAGGCCTCAATGGTCCCATGATGCTGTGATGACCCAGGGCAAGACTGCATCAGCTGAAGACCTCCTGGTTCCTGGAGATCCCAGGAGTAATAAAAATAGGGTTTCACTTTGGGGAAAGGACAAACTTCTTGTTAACTTGCCAATTCTCCCACCATCCCCATCAACATAAAGATCCTTATTAGCATAAGGTCATCCATAATCCCTCCGATTATTATATACACCCAATAAATTGTGGCTAGCTCTGGGTGTCTTTGTCTTTTCCCATTCTAAGGTGTTGACTTCCCAGCCCTCCTGTCATGCATTACTAAATTTGTCTGTTTCGTATTTCACCTGTTTACTGTACCCCTCCCTGACCAGCCCCCCAAAATGGCAGTTAGCCAGGATGATTGATTATGTATTTTTCCTTAAAAACTGACTTACATTGAGTTCAAAAGCCACCTTCAGAATCCTGTACAGCAACAAATAGAGAAAGCCAAAATTTTCATTTTCAATTTACTGGGTGGATTAAGCACCTCAGCATCCCTCTCTGACTGTGTGATAAAATAGATGAAGAATATAAAGAATATTATGTATGTATTGTCCTTAAACCTTATGCTGAGGCAATTCTCTTCTTGTGATACGTAGCCACTTGGTTGGAGATGTATTTTGTGGTTAGTTTATATTTCCAAGCGACTTATGAAGAAGTTCTCCCTCCCACCTCCTGTAGAATCGTGGCTGTCCATGGTCTACTCCAGCGGTCTACTGGACACCAGCACACACTGCACCCCCCTACACCACCGGGGATGGCTGTGTCGATGCTATGGAGGTTGGGGAAGACTGTCCCCAGCGGCAGTACCTGAATTACCAGGATTTCTCTGGAGCACAAGCCCCCTCATCCCCTACCTCCCAAGAATCACTAAGGTTGAATAGTGAAATGCAGCTGAAGAATGAATAGACCATTTCCTAAGTAAACTAGTCTGTTACTATTAGATTTTTCCCAATAGTGTGAGTGTATCTATTTCTACTAGAGGATGTTTGTCATGAAAATGCGACTCACCGATATCCATGAGAAGTGTTAAGTTCTAATAGTCGCTTTCAGAAGAAGGGACAAGTGTAGAATGCATTATATGGAGAGAAGCTATTAAAATAATGCACTTTGTACAACTCTTCTGCAGCCTATCCGTTGCTCATATTTTCCTTTGTTTCAAATTCTGCCTTTCAAGAAATGCTTCATTCTTTATGTGACAGCCCTCCGAATATTTGAAATTATTGTATTTTGGATTTTAAAAACCCCTTAGATCATTTATTCTGCATTTGTTCAACAAATATTTAATTTTTTTAAAAGACAGCAAGCTGGAACAAAGCGAATGTTAGAACACAGGAAGGCTGAAGCACTGCACAGGGGGTTCTAACAAGTCACAAGTTTGCAAGGCTGCCTGTACTTTTTCTTGTTTGGTCGGGTTTGAGAAATACCTGCTATTCCCTTTTCTTACTTGGTCGGGTTTGAGAAATGCCTACCTATCCCTTAAGTGAGAGTCTCTAGGCCGATGCGAAGGTGGGTCTTGTTGCCTTGGCAATAGCGAGGTAGCTTTGAGAGGCTGCTTAGCCAGCCAATAGAAGTTGGGAGGGGCGGGGCCAGCTCGGTCTGCTGCAGCTGCGGTAGGGCTTGCAGGTTTGTAGATGAGGCTTTGGGGGAGGGGTGCGCGGGGCAGCAGGGGCTTCGGGGGTCCCGCCCAGGCCCGAAGTCCCGGGAGAGGGTGGCGGTGGCTTTTGCAGTCGGATTAGGGACCCTATACTCTGCACCTGGAGTTTCTGTCGGCCGGAGCGGGGAGGAGCTGCCGGGCTGCGGAGGCGGAGATGGCGAAGGCGGAGATGGCGGAGGACCGTGGGACGCGACTCGAGGGTCAGAGCCGGGCCTTGCCCGAACATCGGGGGCGCTCCTGGCGGCTGTATTTCCGGCCCCCCGCTCAGCGGCCAGTGGAGAGCTGGAGACTTGGAAGAGAGGGAAATGCGCGTTTGACGACCGGTTTAAGGGGCCCTGATGTCTTGGAGGCCAGCCCCGTTTCCACGTCCTGACAAGACGCTTCCGGCTGTGTTGTGGCCACTTTCTCCGTCTCCATCTCCGTCTCCGTCTCCGACTCCATGTCTCCTTTTTTTTTTTTTTTTTTAGGTGTCTGGTCCTGCTAGCCCAGCAAGCCTGATAAGCATGAAGCTCCTGTCTCTGGTGGTTGTCTCCCTGTGTTTGCTGGTGCCCCCAGCTCAAGCCTACAAGGTGAGGAAGGTGACCCAGTAGCACCTCAAGCACTAGCTCCTCCCCTGCAGGGCTCCCCCGCAGGTAGCTGGGCCCTCACTCAATGGGGAGAGAGCAGCCTCTAGGGCACAAGCTGCTGGGAAGGGTGGGGTGGTGCACAAGGCAGAGAGGTTCTGGGGGGAGAGTAACCAGAGGTGTAAGTCCAGTAAGAAAGTTCGGAGAAGTTATCTAAGTTTTCCCTACCTCTTTCCCCCGGGTAAAATGGTAGTGGTTAGATCTACTACTCAGCTAGGGAGAATCAAATCACATAGCAGTGCAAAAGTGCTCCCTGAGTATAAAGTTCTATACAGATGGAAGTTTCTGTTATGATGGGGACCCACCTAAGTGGTGGACTCCTGAGATAACTCCCTTTCCTTAAGGGTAGAGGATCAGGAGCTTGATGTGGGTGGGCCTGTGGAATCTCAGATTCTGATCATCTAGGCTTTGAAGAAAGGTTGAGTCAAGGTTTGCTTCTGTTCCCTCCAGGGAATGCCTAATTGTAATGCTGTATTTTACCCATTCCAGGGGGGAACTTTCAAAGGAATTGCTTGAGTATTTCCATGGGAATTGTACACTTTTTCTTATTCATCCCTACCCTTTCTTTCCCCCAATCCTAATTTAGGAGGTTAGAGATAGGATTAGGTGAAGAGGCTGGACTCCCAGCCTCCAGGGTAGAAGTACAAGTGTGGGCCTAAGGGTACAGGACTGTCACTCTGCTAGCAAGCTCCTCACTTAGGGAATGGCAGCCTAGGTAAATTCCTGTGAGTCTCATTTGACACCTGTACAGTTTCTGTCTTGAGGACCCCGTGATGTAGCATCCTCCCTTGCTGAACTTGAGCATACCTAGCAGAGAACTAAAATTTCTACCTTTGCTAGTATTCTAAAATTCTAGCCTTGCTAAGATCTGAATCCTCAGGAATCCTTCCTTCCTGATATATGATTTCTCTTCTAGAGTTCCGAAGATATCCGGTGCAAATGCATCTGTCCACCTTACAGAAACATCAGCGGGCACATTTACAACCAGAATGTGTCCCAGAAGGACTGGTAAGGCATTGCGTGCGGGCTGGCTCTTTGCTCCTACACCTAATTGAAGTGGTGGGTGTTTTAGTGTTCTTGGATCCCCTTGAGGATAAGCTTGTTCTCCTATTTCTGTGGAGAGCCTTACAAAGAAATACTTTTGTTCATAATCAGTCAGAAACAGAATACTCAAACAGATCTAAAAGTCTTGAATTCCAGCTGAGATGCTCCTGGTTAGAGAACTAGTTTTGTTTTTTGTTTTTTGTTTTTTTTGTACTGGAATCGAACTCCGGACCTTGCACTTGCCAGGCAGGTGCTTGTGCCATTGAGCTATATCTCCAGCCCCAGAGAACTAGTTTTGAATTTGGATTTTTTACTGATACATGCAATATGGTGAGTCAAGGTTTGCTTCTGTTCCCTTCAGGGAATTCCTAGTTTGAAGAGGTAGGTATTATGACTATAAATAAAAGGCC